ATCAGATCCCCAAGAACTGGAGTTATGGCAGGTCTTTAGCCCAAGGGGCATCAAGACACACCGGCTGCTTGGGGAGATGGACGACCAAGCAGGTCCAGCACAACAGGTAGAAGATGCATTAACAAGGGGAGGGGAAGTGGAACTCTGGACTGACGTATTCAGAGAAGGCTTTATAGAGGTGAAATTTAAAGTTTAAACGATGGCTAAGGTTTGGGGTGAGGTAGGGATGGAGACAGATGGAGTGAGGGAAGGCAGCACAGTGTGTCCAAAGCATGAAACCAGGAACCTGTGTTGGCTTCGATGGACGTGTCTGTATAGGGTGGTGGTGAAAGGGGGGGGGGTCAAGAAAACTAAGTTTTTACATCTAGATTAACGTTTTAAATTTTTGGCAAATGAGATTCAAATATATATGTATACCCAAGTTGGCCTCGAACTTCTACGTAGCCCAGGCTGGCCTCTGCCTACTGGATGTTAAGACTACAGGCATGCAACTACCATGAACACCTGAATCAATGCTTAAACAGGAAAATGATTTGGCAAGTAGAAAGCCCTGGCCAGAGCAAACACTTGAGGGGCACCCATTAGTGGTTGTAATACCAAAGACGCCAGCTGACAAAGACTGAAACTGAAACGTCTGTGGAAACAGAGATGGGTAGGCAGCTAAAATACTGAAGAAGAATCCAAACACCTTGGGGACTGGAAGAACTACTTGTGTATTATGAATGACTTACATAATAGTCACAAGCTGGGCCTCCTGGTGTAGTCCTGGAATCCTAGCACTTGAGAGACCGAGGCAGGAGAATCACTGCAAGTTTGAGGCCAGCTCAGCCCAAGATATGTAGGGAAACCTTGTTCAAACAGAAAGGAAAGGAGAGAGAGAGGGAGGGAGGGAGGGAGGGAGGAGGGACAGAAGGAAGGAAAGAAAGGAGGAAGAGGGAGGGAAGGAGGGAGGGAGAGAGGGAGGAAGAGAAGGAGATTTTGATGTTAGAGGATCCAGTTTGAATATTTTAAATTTCTGTGATGTGTCCAATGTTTGGAAATATTTCAGACAAGAGAGGAAATTTCAGATGCAAGGTCAATACTAAACATAAAGATTGCTTAGCAGTAATTTGGCAAAGATTTTTATATCCCCTCTCCATTTTTTGATCAATGTAATTCTTCAGTGGGTGTTCTAGTTTGCTTTCAATTGCTGTTGAAAGACAAAACACTCTGACCAACACCAACTTGGGGAGGAAAGATTTATTTGGCTTACATCTCTCAGGTCACAGTTTATCATGGAGGCAGCCCAAAGTAGGGACTCAGGGCAGGAACCTGGAGGCAGGAGCTGAAGCATGGAGGAACTCTGCTTACTGGCTTGCTCTCCTGGCCCATGCTCAACCTGCTTTCTTAAACAATACAGGACCACCTGCCCAGAGATGGCACCACCCACAGTGGGCTGGGCTCTCCCACATCACTCAATAATCAAGAACATGCCCCACAGACATGCCACAAGCCAGTGCAATGTAGGCAAGTCCCCAGTTGAGGCTCCCTCAACCCAGGTGTGTCAAATCGACACTAAAGCTAACCAGCACAGTGGGTTATAAAAAAATTGCCTCCTTATTTTCAATTTCAACCGAGACTTTTTGGCATGAATGAGGAGCTATTAATACTGACAATGAAGCCAGCTGTGGCGGTGGGCATCTATCCTGCCCACACTCAGGAAGCCAAGGCAGGAAGGTCGATTTCACCAAATGACACAGAGACAATGGGCACAGAACTAAGGCTATAGGTGGAGACCAGCACATACAGGCCCAGTTCATAAGCTCTCTTACTTTCGAAGTATGAAAAATGGGCTTTTCTTATTTTTATTACCGTGCTTTGCTTCTGAGAAGGAATGAAGGGATTCAGTTGATGTCATTTTATTGTGACTAGAGAGATGGCAGATTCAGACTAGGCACGAGAAAGCAAAGGAAAATGTCAATGAGCTAATCTAGTCAGAGAACTCCTATGCAGCTGGTGCTCCCAGGGCAAGGAAGGGGGTCCAACAAGGTTGATGGAAGGAGATCTGAGCAGTTTGGGCTGGCGCTGGAACTCTGGCTGGACTGTCCACTGAAGAAGCTGTTTCCTTTAGTTGTCTCAGAAGATAAAGTGGACAGAATAAATTCCTGGGGAACAGGAGTGCAAAAAGGCTGTGTGGCTGGGGACGAAAGGGGCTGTCTTTATCTGAAAGTTGCAATGAATGCTTCTGTAGAATAACCAAGGACAAAATTGGCATTGGTGATAACTGAGCAAGATGGTGGAGGGAACCTGCAGTTCTCATTGCCTAGATTCCAGCAGGCTGCCGGTCTTTAATCCCGGAAGGGACCCAGCTCTGGGAGTGTGGAGTAAATGGGGGGGATTATTTTCTCTGTGAGAGTGGGCCTTTAGGCTCCTACTATTTATTGAGTTTTTTGCCTTGACCATTTATTTTGCTATTTGCATACTAGGGATGTGTCACATTTATCTTGGTGTGGAGGCAAAGAAAATGTGGCTACGTCTCAGTGTGTGACCTGACCTCTGAAACAACCCACATGTCTCAGGTCACCTGGCTCCTGTGGTGTTCCCTCATTCTGCCTGTTCTAGGCTCCAATGACCAATGTTTAAGAAATGGAGTTTGGAGAAAAATCTGCTCATACATAGAAAACTTTTTTAACTCAGCCTTCAAAAAGTACAAATATATCTGCTTTGTCTTTTTAAAAGAAGATCTCACATTACAGGAAAACATTTAAGTTTCCAAATTACCAAGTGCACTAAAATCAAGCTCTTAGTGCCGAAACACTGCTTCATTTTCTGGTAAATAGTAGGCACTTAGCAATTAAAAGGCTGTCTCCTTTGTCCTCACAAGACATCATCTTCTTCTAGCTATCTCTTCAAATATTTTACTAAGTATTTAAATATATTAATGAATAGTATATAGACATTACTACTGATGAGTAAAACTTACAACGTACGTTCTTGAACAGTATTTTTAACATAAAGGAAGCACAATACTGTCTTCCAAACAAGGGACCACGCTGAGTTTACATAACCATCGTTTCCAGTAAGATTGTTTTCCACATTCCTGCTTAGAATATTAAGATCAGTTTGTACAAAATTAGACTGTCCATGCTTGGATTCCTCTATGCAGTTTTGGTTTTTTAAGTTTTATATAAAAAGTGGCTCGGAAGGAAGTAAGGTAACCAACAGATTAAGGAATATAATCAACCCTCTAGCTATAACTACCAACTGATAAGACAAACACAGAACAGAAGAGTATACTCCAACAAGATCCAGTCTAGGGGAAACTCTATGGAATGATGTCTAAAGAGTGAAGGGTGTGGTTTCTTCCAAGGATGGATTATAGCAGGGGGAGGGAGGGGACACAAAAGGGGGGATCTATAGATTTAAAGAAAGAAGTCAATGAAAATATACACATCTTGTTTTTTTTCAGGTTTTTGGAAACAAACTATAAAAAAGAATCAATTTATAAGTCAACTAGAAAAATCTGAAGATTTAACCAGAAAGAATTATTCATTTAAGTGAGAAAACAATACTCTGTTCACTGGAAACAGCCCTTGTCTTTTAGCTCTGGTATAGTTCAGTCAGAATTACTTCAGTCTGTATTGTTTCCAAATTATCTGGGGAAGGGGAAAAGCAGTTGTATGTCTAAAGCAAGACCCGCCACACACTGACTATTTATCAAGCAGGGTCCTAGTGCATGGGAGTCATAGTACCTCAATGTGCTGTGCATGTTTAAGTTACAAAATAGAAATGACAAAGGTTTAGGGAACACTGAAATGAATACTGCTTTTCCTAAAAGGCCTCATTAGAAAATAAAGAATATCCCCCCTTCAAATATCAAAACACTTTGGGTAGATCATGCCCAGTCAACGCTAAATATAAACACAATGAATGGTACTTTGTGTCACAGAGGACCCTGACTCCACATGGATGGAACTGGAAGAGGTTTTCAGTGATAGACCCAATACAAGTACTTCGAACCTTGGGCCTGCCAAAATGCAGTGAGATAAAGGTAGACAGTGGTAAGCAGATGAGCATTCCCCAGGCATCATCATAAGGGAATCTTCAACTCCTGGGAGTTTCATGGGAAAATCCTCTTCCCGGGTGATCCTAAGAAGCATTTTGTGACTAATGAGGCTTTTAATGATACCATCCTTTTCTGCTTCACAGTAGAATAGCTATTGTATAATACAAAAACCACAGATAGTTGTATGACAGTGAAGTGTTTGTAGTGTACCTCCACCTGCTGTCCCCCACCAACTCCCTTCCCAAGCCTAGTCACATACTTCACTGGTGAATTCTGACACCTGCCTGGACCCCTGCTGTGTGATAACGAGTCTAGTGATAGGGAACTATTATTACAAGGCTGGAAATGCTCCTTAAAGCTAACAGAGGGATGTGTGCCTTTGCAGGTGCCCCTGAAAAGCACAGCCCTCACCTCCACGGTCTCTATGTTGCACTCTGTCTGCCAAGTACAAAGAATAGGGCAGGGGATGAGAGTGGAGGGGATGCAGGGTAAAAGCACTCTCTGCATAGTGATGCCAGCACAGACCCAGGGTCAGCATCTGGCCTTATGTCTCAGTGCCATTTTTAGATTAAGCAGTAGCAAAAGCACAACCATGACATCTGAGCCCTGGTCCCCAGTGTTCTTCAATGCACTTGTGTCTTTGCATGTAGCCTCCCATTTACAACAAGAATAATATAATTGATGAACTGCTTCTAGTCCTAACAGATGACTGGGATTATCGAATGACCAACTTGGACAGGAAGAGAGAAGGCCTAAAAACTGACCAAACAGAAGACTGAGTAAATCAGCGCAAATGTGGCGAGAACAAAGGGCATACTGTGTGATTTCATTTTCTGTTTACGATGAATTGAAATATCAAAAACATCAGGCATAAAGTAAGGCACTCAAGAATTGCTTTCTTTCAGCAACCTGGGTGAAATAGATGGATCATATTAAGGAGATGAAAGTGACCTACCTGAAGACCGCAAGTGTCAGCGACCAGAGCACGAGTGGCTTCCGCAGCTCAAACTTCGCTCGTTTGTTCATCAGGTGCCGACCACCAAATATAAAGGCAGCATACAGTGCCGAAAACAGGAATGATTTCTTCCTGTGAAGAAACAGATGAACAAGTTCCCTGACTAGAAAGCAGTGAAAACATATTCTTAGGCATTGCCCCACTTCAATGAAGAGACATCTATCCACCTGGAATCAGGTTCTGCCTGGAAAATTCATCCTGTGGCTGGAGGCCGACCCAGTGAGAGCCATTCAGTGTACAAGGCAGGCCCTGAGATCAACAATCTCAGTGCAGCCAAGTAACCTTTTCAATGGAGGAATTAACTTTATTCTTTAGAATTTCTTGGGCCAAGAAATGAATTTAAAAGAGAATTGTTTTTGTTAGAAGGCAAGGATTAAAGCATTAGATTTCAACATTAATAAAAGGCATAAATGTCAGATACACAGAATTGCCTATAACACAACTGTCCAAAAACTTGAATTTAAACAAGTCTCAAATTTAACTATCTTGCTGTGGGAAGCATCAAGGGTAAATTTAAAGCAGGGGGGATACCCTAAAGGACAGTTGAACTTATCTCTTCAGGAGAGTAGCATTGGATAAAAATCTGTGGCTAAGGGGACTAGAGAGCGGGTGCAAGGGTTAAGAGCACTGGCAGCTCTTGCACCCCCATAGTGGCTAACAACTGTCTCTAACTCTAGTTCCAGGGGGATCTGATTACCTATTCTGATAAAAGACTCATATAAATAAATTATATTATTATTTTTTAATTGTTTAATAACCACATCCTTAGACGAAGCATTTCATTACAACAGCATTGACATATTCAATAACAATTTCCTGAGCTAAGACGCATCTCTTTCAAAATTGGCTGTAAATTTTTAGGTTTACAGTTGAATTATTATAGTTATGCGATATTGTACTCAGTATAAACCCTATAAGACATAAAATTAAATGAGGTTTTAACCTTTAAAAAAGATCTCCATTTCATTATTAAAATACAGTTTCATATAGAAAAAATTCATTTTTAATGCAATTGACATTAAGATGTTTGCACATGTGTTTCTAATCTCTATATATCTGATTATTACTAGTCACAGTTGGTTACTTTCTGAGCTCCTTGGCATCTGAACATGGATATAAAGTCGTCAGGTAGATTTCAATGGTAATGTTTTTCACATCTACTAATTATTAAGGAGCAAATTTTAGGTTTTGAAGAATTATTACTTTTTTAATCATTTTTAAAAATTTTTTAATAACTACATGATTAGAAAACGCATTTCACTACAGCTTTAACAGATTCAGTAACACGCTCCAGAGCAAGAGTACATCTCTTTCACAAGTGGCTGCAAGTTTCTAGGTTCACAGTTGAATTTAATACAGTTATACAATATTGAACTCAGTATAAGCCCTGTAAGACATAAGATTGAATGAGTTTTTAACCTTTAAAAGAGATCTCCATTTCATTTTAAAATATATTGTTCCTTGCAGAAAGACTCACTGTTTTTGCTACTAACACTATGTTGGCACATGAATCTCTAATCTGTATGTACCTGATTATTACTACTCATAATCGGTTGCACTTGGATCCTTGGCGCCTGTGTATGTCTATAAAGTCATCGGGTAGATTTCAATGGTAATGTTTATCACCTCTACTAACTAACATGACGTAAATTTCCATGCTTCCCACTCAAATATAATACATTTTTTAAAATTTTGTGTGTGTGTGTGTGTGTGTGTGTGTGTGTATCACACAGAACATCCCAAACCGTCTTATTCAACTATACACCCACTTCCCAGATAGCACCCTCCCACAGCCTCCCTCCCCAACTAGAGCCCTTATACTCTGATATCCCTGCTACTGTCTTCTATGTTGTTGGCACCCCCAGCCATTCCCCACTACTTGTCCATCTGGTGAATCCAGTCAGCCTATCTAGAGAGCTTTGTTTTAGGAGGGTCAGCTGTTCCTCACCTAGCAGCAATCAGTTGTCAATATTCCTTTAGATAAGCATGGGGTCTGCTGTTCATTTTCCCAATTCTATGCTGGGTTACTATCTGGGAGTTCCTTTGACCACCCTGGCCAACAGCTCAAGAAGGTATCTCCTACTGGCATTGTTGCTTGTTATGTAGCCTTTAGCTATAAACATGGACACTTTAAAAAAAATATATTAGCCCTTTAATCTTTGGTTATACGTTCCTCTTGGGTGTTTAAGTCCATACAGTTGGCCCAGATAAACCAATTTGTTTTTACTCTTAAAGCCGTTTGAGGATCTGTTCTTCAGGGGTCACATGGGCTTGGGAGGAGCCCATGGCTCCTTTCTTTTACCAGTTCTGCCTATGTGAAGATAAGTCAAAGGTCCTGCTCGACCATGGTTGGCTTGGTTTGGAAGCATGGAGGAAATGATTCCTCTGTGTTGACCCTCCTCTTTGTAGACTGGACACTAGTTCAAGTCCATCTGGTAGGGTCTCCTTGGCCTCCGTGATCAAGAGGACAGGTGACCCACCACAATTACATGACATTTTGAGAGATGCTTATAATCCTCTGGAAATAGTTGACCTAGGAGGGCAAGGAGCAAAAACTGTCCTTTATGTCCCTCTGACCAAATTATTATAGGCCTCAAAGTATGTCTGTTAAACATCCAAGAAGGTTAGTTCCACCAGTCTGGTACTTTGAGTTACTGTGTATCATGTAGATAAATCTTGGGCAAAGCCCAATTGTTCTCAGATAAACCTTACCTAGACATATATTTCTTGATCTGCTATGTATAATTTGTTCAGTAGGCTGTAGGAACAATATGGTTCCCTCTGGTTTTCAAAACTAGCTAGGCATTGTTTATTTCTCACATTCTCTCACCCCTCCATCAGTTTTCCCACTTAAGGTGCCCCCATTTCCCCCCTTTCTCCCTTAATAATACCCTTCTCCTGTGGTCCTACCTCTCTTGAGCTCCTTCTATCCCTTTATCCCCTAGGTTCCTTGTATACCCTTCCCCCCTCCCTTCCCTTAAACTAACCCAATTTTTAGCCATAGCTCCCTTATTAAGGCCTGTTTCCTACTGTTGTTCTCTTTCAGGTTCTTTCTCTTCCTTTACTGCCCTGGTTCCTTTCCATTATCCTGGTTCCTGTAGTTATGTCTGGATACATACTCACTTATCAGGGTTTGGTTCTAGGATCCACATATGAGGGAGAACATATGTTAATTTTTTTTCTGAGTCTGTGTTACTTCACTTAGTATAACAGTTTCTAGTTCTATCCATTTACCTGCAAAGCTCATGATTTCATCTTTCCTTACTGCTGAGTAAAACTCCATCGAATAAATGAACCACATTTTCATTATCCACTTGTCAAATGAGGGACACTTAGGTTTCGTCCATCTCTTAGCTATTGTGAAAAGAGCAGCAAAAAAATGGATGTACAAGTGTCTCTGCAATAGGACAAGTTCTTTGGGTATATGCCAAGGAGTGGTATAACTGTAGTTTGTTTTTTTTTTTACTTTTTGAGACAGGGTCTTCCCTATGGTTCCAGCTGTCTTGGAATTCACTATGTAGACCAGGCTGGCTGTGAACTCATAGAGATCTGCCTGCCTCTGCCTCCCGAGTTCTGGGATTAAAGGCCTGTGCCACCATGCCCAGCTTCATTTGTAAGTTTTTTAAGAGTTCTCCACACTGCTTTCCATAAGGTTTGAACAAGTTGGCAGCCCCACCAGCAGTGGATGAGTTTTCCCCACATCCTCTCCAACATTTGGAATCATTTGTTCTCTTGATCTTAGCCAGTCTGACTGGGGTAAGATGAAATCTTAAAGTGGTTTTAATGTGCATTTCCCTAATTATTAGTGATGTTGGACATCTTTTAAGATGTTTCATAGCCATCTTTACTTCTTCTTGTGGAACTCTCTGTTCAGCTCCTTAGCCCATCTTTGAGTTGGGTTACTTCTTCTCTTGATTCTGTTTTGAGTTCATTATATATTCTGGATATTAAATCTCTGTCGGATGTGTTGCTGGTGAAGATTTTCTCCCATCCTGTGGGTTTTCTGTTCACTGCCCTGGTTGTCTCCTTTGATGTAAAGAAGATTTTTAGTTCAATGAAATACCATTTGTTAATTCTTGCCCTTGTTTCCTGAGCAATTGATGTCCGGTTTAGAAAATCCTTTCCTACACCTATATATCTTGTAGGTTTTTCCCAATGTTTTCTTCCAACAGTTTCAGAGTTTTCAGGCTTTACATTGAGGTTTTGATCCATTTGGAATTGACTTTTGTGCAGGGTGAAAGATAGGGGTTTAGTTTCATGCTTCTATAGGTGGAAATCCAGTTTTGCCAGCACCATTTGCTAAACATGCTGTCTTTCCTCCAGTTAATGTTCTTGGCCCCTTTGTCAAATATCAGGTGGCTAAAATTGTAATTACTCATATTTGGGTCTTCGATTTTGTTTCATTGATCTATGGGTCTATTTTTATGCCAGTACCATGTTGTTTTTATGACTATAGCTCTGTAATACAGCTTAAAATCTGGTATAGTAATCCCCTCAGCATTACTCCTAGTGCTCAAGGTGGTTTGGCTATCCAAGGTGTTTTGTACTTCCATATGAATCTTAGGATGGTTTTTTCCAATTCTGTGAAAAATGTCAT